ATATAACATGTAAAATTACTTACATTAGTACTTATACTAATTCGAAGATAATCATGATATTAGGATTACAAAATAAGAGTTATATCTCTCGAGAAATTAAAACGATAAAAATTAAACATAAAAAATTATGTAAACAATTATTATTTTTCTAATATATTAACTTGCCTTTATTTACATAAGAAATAAATTAATATCTACCATGATTAAATTATTTTATATAAATTCTTAAGTTCTAACTGTTATAATGTTCTTTATTTAAGAATTAAAACGAAAAGAGAATTCATTTTCGAGATACGTTTTGCAAAAAGTTGATTAAAAAAGAAAAAAAATTCATTGATTAAACTTCAAACTATGATTAGTTGAATAAACAAACAGGACTAAGTCTGATATCCATTTTTAACAATTTTAAAATTTCGCGGGCTTCAGTTCTCACTGACTTAAAAATTATTTGATGATTAATAAGTACAAATATTTTGTCGCCATTGGCTTTAAAATTATTAGTAGCGTTCCTTAAGATTCACTTTGAGAAGTTACCTCGAGACAGTAACTTCATTGAGAATTTAATGTAATTCTAATATGTATAGTATACATATTGTTTACAAATACTTCATTTCACCAGATGGCATTCTGAACAGTGTGGTTAAATTTTCATATCTTTGTAGTGTGATTAGTTTGAGTTGTGGGAGAAATTGTTGATAGTTTGAATCTATATTTACAATAAAAAAATATCACGACTACAATTAGATATTTTTTATGGAGATTATTTATCTTTAACGATGTTACGATCGTGTTCTTTTCGTAAGCATATAGTGAAGAAATTCATTCGCTAATTCAGTGCTGCTATTGGTCAATGAAAGATATCCGTTTCGTTATTGGATGCAAATAAAAGAAGATATCTTTAATTCAGTAGTGAAAAAGATACGAGATTTGTTTTCAAATATTTGAAACACTTTTATTGAGACAGATTATATGACATCTTTTAGTTATTAACATCGTAGTAAAAATAAGATATATTATATTTAATGTATTTTTTTTCGTGTGAATTGATCCCCTCTTTATACCGCATTAATATTAAAACATGTGTAAATAAGGTTAACTCATCAGAGATTACTTATATTTTGTGATGTCTATTTTAATCCTACTACTTCTCTGCAATATTAACACATGAATATACTACATATTTCAACAATATCATATTATAACATAGAATGTCTGTTACAATTTTAAAATGTCTAGAAATTGGTTATATCAATTTCTCTAATGCTTAGTGAATACAATGAAAAGTAAAATGCCACAATTTCGGAGGAAAAAATCGGGGAAATCCTTTCCAGTGAAAGTTTCTACCTTGGATGCAGAATTGGAATTTAATTTAGAAGTTAGTGATTTATGATTAATTTTTTATTAATATTTTTTTTAAAATATATTTTTTGTTTTCTAATATATCTTTCTATAAAATATTTTTAAATTTATCTTTACAGTGGAGATCTACAGGAAGGGATTTGTTTGACTTAGTGTGCCGTACTATTGGACTCAGGGAAACATGGTATTTTGGTCTTCAGTACGAAGATTCTAAAGGATTTATATCTTGGTTGAAATTAGATAAAAAAGGTGAACTTCATTGGGATTAAATTGCATTTGTTATTAGTATATCGTAGTACTTGTTATAAAGAATATGTTATTTAAATTGTAGTTCAAGATCAAGGCATTTCACAACAACCCACTACTCCTTTTATGTTTTTGGCTAAATTTTATCCCGAAGATGTGTCTGAAGAATTGGTACAAGAAGTTACACAACATTTATTCTTCCTTCAAGTGAAACAAGCTATTTTGTCGATGGACATTTATTGTCCTCCAGAAGCTTCTGTTTTACTTGCTTCGTATGCTGTACAGGCAAAAGTATTTTTAAAGATATTATATAAGTTTTATTTTCTTTACATATGGGCTAGAATTGTTTATTTTTGCATGCATAATTGAACTTATCTTAACATTGATTTGTATCTTACATGATGATTTTTGGCAGATAAGTTTAATGTATACATAGGCGTACAAGTATATGTAGATATTGATTGGTTTTGATTGTAATTATTACTGCACGGTTGTTAGTATGGGGACTATGATGAAGTTTCATACCGCCCAGGAATGCTGGCCAGTGAAGATCTACTTCCACAAAGAGTCATAGATCAGTATCAAATGACTGCTGAAATGTGGGAAGATAGAATTAAAATTTGGTATGCTGATCATCGTGGAATGTCTAGAGACGAGGCTGAAATGGAATATCTTAAAATTGCTCAAGATCTGGATATGTATGGTGTGAATTATTTTCCTATTAGTGTGAGTAAGATTAATCAAATTTTATCATTTCTAAATAATGTAACTTGATTTAAAATTTTAAGAATACGTGTTTGTATTTCAATTTTAGAATAAAAAGGAAACAAATCTGTGGCTTGGTGTAACAGCATTGGGACTGAATATCTATGAAAAAGAAAATAAGCTCGCTCCTAAAACTACATTTACGTGGTCTGAAATTCGACATATTAGCTTCGATGATAAGAAGTTTGTCATTAAACCAGTGGAAAAGACATCGCCAAACTTCGTGTTCTTCTCGCAGAAAGTTCGCATGAATAAACTGGTAAAAAAACAGTCAGATGTTGCCAGCTGGGTGAAGGGTTTGATAGCTTTAGGGTTGGACGAACATAATAGTGACGAAGGTGCTCACATATTATTTGTTAAGATCCTGGACCTGTGTATTGGCAACCATGATCTATTTATGCGAAGACGCAAGCCTGACTCCATGGAGGTACAGCAGATGAAGGCTCAAGCCAAAGAAGAGAAGTCACGGTAAAAAATATTAATTTTTTTTTTTTTTTTTTAATTTATTAGTTTAGTCATTTAGTTCAATAGATCTAAAGAAAGCTAATACAAATTAAAATTAAATTGATGATCTTTTCTTTTTTTTTAATACTTACAATTGTTTTACATCGCTCAGGTATGATATTATTTTTATATTTGAAAAAATTAATTTATTTCTATTTTACTA